ATTTTGTGACTCTTGAGTGATGCCAAGTTTCTAGCTTCTCACCTGCTCTGCAAGGAAGAAATAAACTTCTACCAGCCTCTGATGAGGAACGGGTCCTCATTTCAAGGATCTGTAAGCAGGGCCAGCAGAGCAGGAGGGAGGACAAGCTGGTGGCAAGAGACAGAAGTGCTGGAGCAGAGCCCAGCCGGCTGCAACCCCGGCAAGCCCACGGCGTGGAGGGCACTCTGTTCTGGCAGCGGCCGGTTTCACAGAGATCGTGAGTTTAAGCACATATCTAATTGAATTGCAGATGTCTTTTCTGATGGCTATCTGGTAGCAAAGCTTTGATTAAAGCAGTAGTGGAGAGGCAGAACAGGCTGGTTCTCGGTAATAAAACTAATGGAAGAATGACCATTTACTGCAGCCTCCACAGGGAGCATAATGCAGGCAGATACTTTAAACAAGATTTTTGGGGGAGATGTGAGAGCTCAGCACAGATACCCAGCTTCCAGCTCCTAGAGATCCTGAATGTATGTTGGACTGGAAAGCAGCTGACAGTAATTTAAATAATCCACAAATAAGCTCATCTCCCTCCCTTCCCATACTCCCTGATGAACAACAGATCTGCTTTCCTTTCTGAAAGCCTTAGGGGTTTGTTCTTCTTGACTTTTTTTTTTTTTTTTTTAAAGGCTGACAAATTTTATTCACTGCCCTTTTGCTACTTCCAAGATTCAGGTGGATTTGTCCTGAGCTTGCACTTGCCAGATCTCAACGTCTCACTGTTTTACAGTGCCTTTAGAGCTCCAAAGAGGGAGGACTTTTAACAGACCTCTCAGTCCATCCAAACTAGAAGACTGTAAACTGGACTGTTATGACCTTTTTTTTTTTTTGCCTGTAGCCACTTTCTCATGACGACTTGAACTGCACCCAACGTGTATTACCACATACACATCACTGAAAAACCACCCCCACCCAATGCAGCTGAAGAATCAAAGTTAAGCTTCAAGATGACCTAAGAACCTGGCTTTCTGAGAACTGTTTTCCCTTTCCTCAGCTGGCCGTTATGCCATACCCAAATTCCCATTGTGCTACATTTCAGGGGCCTCTTGGCCATGCCCTACCCGAACTCTTTTGCCTCTTGGCACAGCACAGCTCTCCTGGGGGTACCTCAATGAACAACAACCACCTGGGACTTCATTTCAAGGAAAGTCATCGCAGTTTTTGCTCATTTTCCCTTTTGAACTGCTGCCCTTTTCCAATGTATTTACAATGTAAGGAAGTTAGTTTATTCATGGTTTGGCTTTTAACTTCATTGTTGAGCTTGGCTTTGGTCCTGTTGGAAATTGGACCCCGATTAAGGAGGGCAGTTGCCAGTGTCTGCTGGAAATGCCTTGCCACGGGATTTTCAAGCACACCGTTTGTTGGCCCAACTCAGCACATACTAACTGCAGTCGGAAGAGTCTGCTTACTCATCGCAGGAAAAGGTTATTCATGGTTTGGCTTTTAACTTCATTGTTGAGCTTGGCTTTGGTCCTGTTGGAAATTGGACCCCGATTAAGGAGGGCAGTTGCCAGTGTCTGCTGGAAATGCCTTGCCACGGGATTTTCAAGCACACCGTTTGTTGGCCCAACTCAGCACATACTAACTGCAGTCGGAAGAGTCTGCTTACTCATCGCAGGAAAAGGATCGGGCCAGCGGCAGGTGTTTTTTTCAGAGTATCCTCAAACAAGCACTTCAAACACCAAAGCTTGTTCCAGACTTCCCAGGAACTCCCTCCAGCAACCATTCTCCGTTTAGTTTCATGCATCTGAAGTTACACTGACTAGCAATGGTTGGAATTGGGCTCATTTCCAGCTTAGGCAAAGCCTTGGATTTATAACTTGTTTCAGGTTCATCCTGGCAGAAACCTCTCCAGAAACCTTGGATTTATAACTTGTTTCAGGTTCATCCCGGCAGAAAACTCTCCAGAACGTTAAAATGCATAACCCCAAAGAGAGAGAGGAAAAAAGCAAGAAATAATGCAGCGTCTGTAAGATGTGAACTGTTACTGAAGCACTCAAGACACTTAACGAGAGGTTTTGCGAATGGCATATATTAAGCTAAACAAGTATGCCTTCAGTCAGCGAGCTTGAGTATTGCTATTTCACCCTACAAAGAATAAATAATAATCTCAATACAACGAATTTTAGCTATTTCACCCTACAAAGAATAAATAATAATTAAAATTCTTTGTATTGAGATTAATACATTCACTGTAGCTACAGAAATCAAGGGTGGTAATTCCCAAATAGCCTCGCTGGGTTCTTTCTCCAGCTGAAAGATGGGAAGCTGCCTCCAAGGCATTGATTTATTCCATAAGAATTAGGGAGAGGCATCTCTGAGGCACTACATTTATTCCACTGCTGCTGGGAGGTTTTGTCTGGGTGCCCTCCCGACAGTTTTCAGGCATGTTATTGAAGCCGATTTCTCTGCCCTACGTATTTACAGAGCACTGAGAATTTAGACAATCTCAACTTGCCTTAGAATTATTTGCCAAAAATTATTGGTTTAAAAAAAAAAAAAAGGCCACAAGAAGAAAAAAATAGCAACTTGGTCTCTGTGATAATTTGCTTAGATCAGTTTATCATATTGCTGTTAAAAATAAAGCAAGCGTGTGGCTAAATGTCAACAAGAAGTTAAATGACAAACAGCTTGAATATCGCCTGAAGAATTAGTGAATTGGAGATATGCAGAGAATAAAAAGCCTGACATATAAAAGACAGATTACATTTAATTTGATTCTCACTGTGGATGAAAAACCTGAGCATTTCAGAGTTTGTACAAAGAAAAACTTGGGTGGAAAAAGATGACACTATTGATAACGTTTGATTTAAAGTGCTCTGAAAAATTATTTGTTCTAGAACAAAAGCAAAAATCAAAACAATTCATTCCAGAAGTATTACAACACAACCGACTGAAATGTCTACTCTTTGTTTGGATCCCAAGTGCAATTTTAGTCAATTTGAATCTGTTTCATGGAGAGAGGCTGCAGTTTTGACAGACCTATTGCTAAAATCATCTCATCAACAGAACACTGCTCTGCCTAACTTTAGCAGTTAATAAACAGCTCCAAAAACCAGCTCCATAGTTTTAAAACTCTTTGGTACCTAAGACTAAATGATCAGATTTGCCAACACTGAAGCACAGTGTACTAAAATTATCAATGTTTTACCTAACCAAAAACCTTCAGACTTCCAGATACTATATTAAAGAACAGTTTAAAAAAAAAAATCATCTTGGATTTAGAATATGCTCAGGCTGTTCTTTAAACAAATAAACCCAGAGGTCAATTTCTGTTTTAAACAAAAAAATAATTCTTGGCAAATTTTGGTCAGTGAAGCAGGTGAAAAAGCCGATCTGCATGTTACAATTGACTTTTTCATATACTCAATGTTATGGCCTGGAAGTGCTAAAGAGACATTCAGAATATAAAGGCAACTGGAGACAATTAAGCCATTTAAAAAGCACCAAAATTAGCATTCCTTTTGTCAGATCCAAATAATTCGAGTGCTGTTCTGCCACAAAGGCTATCATCAATTTCTAATTTTAGCTTAATCCATCAAAAAAAAAAAAAGCATCTCACATCTCTCCCTGGCGTTTCCTCATTAAGAACACTCTTAAATTATGTACTGAAATCTCAAGAACACAAACGACAAATTAAAGTTCACACTCCCACAGAGACACACTCACGCACGTACTTTGATATACTAATCCCAATAAAGGTAATGCAACTGCTTGCGCTGTGATACAGCGAAGCACTGCCTCAACTGCTGCATGATGAGCACCCAAAAGCAAGAATTTAGCTCTAAATCACACAAAAAAGATGATCTGTCTTGCCTTTGAACCCTCAGCCTTCTTGTTCCCTCTGCTACACCTGACTACGCTCAATAACATGAAGTTCCACAAGAATGGTACCTCCTCATTTTCCTTACATGGAATAAGCAGTCATATAAGACCATACATAAAATTTTTTGTAATTAACTCTTCCATTTTAAGTCAGATTAATTCCTTGTATTCAAATTTTTGGACACCGCTATCACAGTCAAAGTAGTCCGACTACCCCTCAAAAGGACTGACCATTTTATCCCGTTAATTGTGAACACTGCAAGTATCCAAGGTTCACAGCTTTAACACTAGTAAACAGAATCCCCTGTAAAACTGCAAATTCCTCCACTTCTCCAGTTGCAGACTATCACACCATATCTATAGTCTTCCACTTAGAAATTTCTGTGTTTAGATTTGATTGTATTTTACTTATCATGACTAAAGAAAAGTATTTTTTCCAAACTGAAGGGAATAAGTTTTATCTTTGCACAAGACTGGAAGTTCTCACCACTTTTACAAGGCAGAATTAATACAAGTTTACATGATTTCAACTCATAAAAAAATAATTATGAAACAAATCAAAGAGCGAGCTGTGGAGGTGAAAGTGAGAAATTCTTGGACATCCGAGATTTCAGCCTGGTCTCATCACTGGAAGGTTTTGAGAGAAGGTGATGCTAGTGCTGTCCTGCTGTAATGCCCGCTGCCTTTGTCACCCAAAATTAAGGGCACTGGAGCTGCTGCCAGCATGGGATGACCCATGGCCCGGCAAGGGCGCAGTTTGCTGCTACGGAACAACTGTTGCAGGAAATTTATACGTTTATGGCTCATCATACATTAGCCTGTGCTCCTGCTTATCTACTACCCAACGTATAGAAAGCACCCAACTGTCCTGACTGGATAGGACTGGACCAAACCAAGGAGCTTTGCTCTTAGTCAGGCCCCCTACTCCTTCCTCCATTTGACTTCACGCTGCATTTTTAAGAAACCATGGAAAGCAGGAGTTGCATTTTTAGCTGAAACTCTGATAAAGCTCTGAAGCCAACAGACAGGATCTCACACCCAGACCTATGCTTCCTGACCTCACTGCTCAGGTAAAACTGCATTGCAACATGTTGAAAGTGATTGCAGTTAACATGAGTACAATATACAAACAGTGATTTATCAACATTGTATGCTTTATTGAAAGTTGACAAGTGCAACAGTTAAATACATTGACGTGTTACAACTGTTTAGAGAACATGCACAAAAACATATGCATACTACTATACAGATCATATGCAAAAAATCCATACTGGGAAATCCAATTTTTTTTTTGTTTGTTTTTTAATTCTTTGCTAGCAGGGTTTGATAATTTTTGGAGTGGTTTTTCCTGTCTTGAACCAAACTACAATGAACAAAGATTTACTTCAAGATAATCAGCAGCCAGGGAACTTCAGAAGTTACACAAACGGCATAAATCTGTCAAATTCTGAACAGTTGCGTAGGTGCATTCTTATTTATGTAGCATTAAAAAAAAAAACCACAAAACTTTCCAAACTTCTTCAGATCAGCCAATGAAACAACTAAACTTCAATCTGTACAACCTAAATAGTTACAGTTTTCTATTTTACAAAGTAATTACACTAAATACACAAATATACAGTAGGCAAATAACCTTCATTGTAATTATCCTATGACCCAACTGTACGTCACCTACCTGCTTTCTATATATAATACAGCTTTATGCACCTGTCCACTGCTTCAGAAAACGGTGCAAGTATTTGCACTTAAGGTTTCAGGTGACAATTAAGTGTTAAACACTGAATTTACCTTTCTCCCTCTTCCTCTTAAGATCCTATGCACCAGTCCTCACTTTGGAACCCCAGTGCACTATAGGGGATTGAGTCATCACTTTTTACTCCAAGTCTATTTCTTCATATTTCCAAGCTCGAAAAGCACTTGTATCAGTTATATCACTGGATGAGTGGAAGATTTAAAAACAAACCAAAAAAAATTCAGGCATGCAGCTTCGTTTCTCAGCCATTTGCAGAAGCTGCTCAAGTCCCCAGTGTACTTGTGCTAATTCTCTGGAAGAAGTTTATTTTATTCAATCAACCTAAGAATAAAGACTCCTTCAAGCCAAAGGGGGAAGGGAGGAAAGAGAGAGACAGATGAGCGCGTAATACGGAGGGGAAAAGCCTCTCCTGATGTGTGCAGGGCATGGAGTCCTCAGTCTGGGTTGCAATGTGCATTGAAATGGATGAAGGGTGGCTGTGGCGGATTCCCGCTAGTCCTTCTTGCTCTGGGCAGTCCAGAGGCCAGCGATCATGATGGCAATGACATCTTGAACTACGCTGAAGGCCCTGACCCCTGTGATGCCGGCTGAGCAGGCTGCTGTGTTGTCCCTTGTGACTGGGAAGAGGAAGGCGGGGAACCAGTCTGCAGCTGTGCTTGGAACTGGGCAAGCTGCTCCGGGCTCGCAAGTGTTTTTAGCAGAGTGTTTTCTTGCTCCAGCTGGGAATTCTTCTCTATCAGCTCTTTGATTTGCTCTTTGAGGACCTCCACTTCCTCCCTTACCGCATACATCAAGTGACTCTTTACCAGATCCTGAAACGCAGAAGAAAGCGTGTGCGTTAGGAAAGCAGCCCAGTGCCAGGCCTGGGCTCCCACCCAGCTCAGCTGGAGACGAAGTGGATGAACCCACACAGAGACCCGGTGCGGACCCTGCCCTGCTCAGGTGCAGAAGAGCATCCCAGGCAGGGCCACGAGCCCCCTGCTCACGCCTGCGGGGAGCCGGCCCCACGGCCAGCGGCCCTTCAGCACAGGGTGCGGGGCCGGGCGAAGGTCTCCCCC